CATATCCGTACATGGTACAATTATAAAAGTTAACAGTTGATATTCCCAGCATTTTCATATTTGTTACACATATAAGAGGTAATGGCTCAATTATATTGTTACGAATATAAATTTAGATTTAAGTTACTTTAGATGAATTCCGTTAATTTAAGAATTTGAATTGTAACGTAAATTTCTACTACGCAGTTTATTTGAATAACTTCACAACAACAACTACTGTATAGATTTTTCTACATCCTTCCATTTCCTCTTTCATTTTCTATTTTGTTATTGTCGTACAACTCTTGTTAAACGTCATCATTGATGATCGCTTAATTCCTCTTTCTTTGTTACCCCCTCGCCTGTATATGTGTTATTGTTATTGTTTACTCAATGAAAGTTTGTATGTGTTGTTGTTATTGTTTACTCAATGTAAGTTTGTATGTGTTGTTGTTATTGTTTACTCAATGTAAGTTTGTATGTGTTTTTGTTGCATTGGTAGATTGTTCGTAATCTAGGCGTTACCAGATCGTCTAGAAACTTCTGTAGCGACAAGCGAGGCTCATATAAATAGGGGAAATGGAAAGACAGTGAGTGAGTTGTGAATCAGATCGCGAATTGAAACCGTCGAGTAAAGTAAAGTGCAAAGTAAAGTTGTGTGAATAAAATCATTGTAATAATCGTAATCCGAAAGAACCTGCGTTTTATTTGGTACGAATTGTATCGGGAAATAAAACAACGTCTACACGGGATTTAGTAAAACCCAAGAACGTAACAATTGGTGTCGGAAGTGAGATTACGATAATACTACGATGAAGTTTAAGGATCTACGAGTGGAAGACTTGAAGAAGGAGCTCAATAAATTGGAATTGTCCTCTACTGGCAACAAGGCTGAACTACAAAAACGTCTGTTGGATGAGTTCGAGCGCCGTGGTATGAACATCGATACATACGAGTTTGACAGTAAGGATGAAGTGGATTTATCGGAAATGGGAGAATCCAACGGTGGGGAAGTCTCGTCAGTAGCTGCCAGGAGTGACGATTTAAGAGAAATGCTGGCAAAAATGTTTGAGGAAAATTCCAGAAGGAGCGAAGAGAATTTCAGAAAGTTAGAAGAAAATTCGAGAATAATGAACGAGAACGAAACGAGTGGAAACCGTGGAGGTCCAAATTAAAGAGTTGGATAAGAAAGTGCAGTCGGTTGACGAGAAAATTCTGTCTGTGGATGAGAAATTTCTGGCCCACGACCAAAGGTTTACGAATCTGGAGAAGAAAATGTCGGAACTGGAAATCAAAGGTGGTCCGGTGCGAGTTCCTGATAACACACTAAAAATCAAACCTCCTGTATTCGACGGCTCTACATCATTCAATGTTTTCAAGTTACAGTTCGAGACAGTGGCTTCTAGAAATTCGTGGAACGACAGCGACAAAGCGGTTGCACTACTTCTAGCATTGAAGGGCAGTGCTGCTGATGTTATACAGAGTATTCCTGTCGCTTCTAGAAACAACTATGAAGATGTTATTGTTGCACTGGAACGTAAGTACGGTGGCGAACATAAACAAAACATCTACCTTATGGAATTAAGGGGAAGAGTACAGAGGGCAAACGAGACGTTACAAGACTTTGCAGCTGAGGTGGAACGTTTGGTGTTAATGACGTATCCAGGAGAGAATCACCCATTGCTGGACCGTATGAAAATCGAAACCTTTGTGAATGGCATACGTGACCCTGAGATTAAGTGTGCAACATATGCGTCACCAAAAGCGTCATTTGCCGAAACTGTTTCGTTTGCCCTTGCTCAAGAGACGGCAAGAATAATTGTTAAGCCCCAGACCCACAAGATTCGCAAACTGGAGACCGAATGTTGCGAACACAAATATCTCGTTAACTTGATCAAGGACGCCATGAGGCAGGTAATAGAAGAAACAAAGTTAGTAGGGATGACTAAGCCCAGGGTTAGATGCTACAACTGCGATAAAGCAGGTCATATTGCGCGCGACTGCAGAGCTAAGCGCAAACGATCCAGGTTATCGTCACCAGCTCCAACGAAAGATGGTAGAAGAATGGCTCAACAGTCCACCAATGTGTCACCGTTAAACATAATCGAGCACAGAGAAGGCGGAAAACACGGTAATGCGGATGCCCTGTCTCGTCGGCCATGCAAGGTAGAATGCAGGCACTGCTCAAAGGCTGAGTGCAAAGAGAATATCATTGATGTCCGACGATTACAGTTTGAGTCGGGTGACGATTGGTCGACGGAACAACGAAGAGATCCCATTCTGGGCAAAGTAATTTCGGCCATAGAAACGGGCAAGCGACCTAGTCGCAAAGAAATTACCTCCGAAAGCCCTCTTTTAAAATCCTATTGGGCCCAGTGGGACAGTCTACTTATAATAGATGGTTGCCTACATCGCAAATGGGAAAGTGAGGACGGTAAATCTCACCGGAACTTGATCGTCGCCCCAGACTCCAAAATAAGAGATGTCTTGTCGGAGTTTCACGATGGGCCAAGTGGAGGACATCTTGGCATAGCAAAAACCGCTGAAAAGGTAAAGCAGAGATTCTACTGGGTCGGCTGTCAAAAATCCCTTGCCGACTGGATCGCCAATTGTGAAAGGTGCATAAGAGCTAAAGGTCCAACACGGAAGAGTCGAGGCTACATGCAGCAGTATAATTCAGGAGCCCCTTTTGAAAGAATCGCAATGGATGTAGCTGGACCGTTCCCAATAAGCGACTCTGGGAACCGGTATGTCTTAGTGGTCATGGATTACTTCAGCAAATGGCCAGAGGTTTATGCTATCCCAAATCAAGAAGCCAGGACAATTGTGGATGTGTTCAGCAAAAATTGGATTTGTCGCTATGGTGTTCCATCTGAGGTTCATTCCGATCAAGGTAGGAATTTTGAATCAGCGATCTTCAAGGAAATGTGTGACTCCTACGGAATCAAGAAAACCAGAACGACGCCCCTACATCCACAATCAGATGGCATGGTGGAGAGATTCAATCGCACCCTGGAAGAACATCTACGGAAAGTGGTGGACAGTGGCCAACGAGACTGGGATGAGCATATTCCAAAGTTTTTACTGGCTTATAGATCGGCCATTCATGATTCCACATCCCGGACCCCAGCCAAAGTTCTGTTCGGAAATGAATTAAAGCTACCTGGCGATTTGATATTCGGTGCTACTCCAAACGACGATGTGAACCAAGATGTCAAAACTCTTTTAGTAAAGTCCACGATGCAGTCCGACATCGAATAAAAATGGTTAGCAACCGCATGAAGGCAAGGTACGATCGAGCGGCAAATACCGATGGGTTTCAAGAAGGGCAACTGGTACTATTGTTCAACCCACAACGAAAGAAAGGACTATGCCCCAAATTGCAAACGCACTGGGAAGGACCCTACAAGATTGTCACGAAAATAAATGACGTCGTTTATCGCATCCAGAGGAGCGACAGTCCCAGGTCGAAGATGAATGTTGTACATTTGGAGCGGCTGGCGCCCTACGGAACGGGAACTGTGCCTATTCGGGACGAACAGGCTTAAGCGGGGGGCAATGTTACGAATATAAATTTAGATTTAAGTTACTTTAGATGAATTCCGTTAATTTAAGAATTTGAATTGTAACGTAAATTTCTACTACGCAGTTTATTTGAATAACTTCACAACAACAACTACTGTATAGATTTTTCTACATCCTTCCATTTCCTCTTTCATTTTCTATTTTGTTATTGTCGTACAACTCTTGTTAAACGTCATCATTGATGATCGCTTAATTCCTCTTTCTTTGTTACCCCCTCGCCTGTATATGTGTTATTGTTATTGTTTACTCAATGAAAGTTTGTATGTGTTGTTGTTATTGTTTACTCAATGTAAGTTTGTATGTGTTGTTGTTATTGTTTACTCAATGTAAGTTTGTATGTGTTTTTGTTGCATTGGTAGATTGTTCGTAATCTAGGCGTTACCAGATCGTCTAGAAACTTCTGTAGCGACAAGCGAGGCTCATATAAATAGGGGAAATGGAAAGACAGTGAGTCAGTTGTGAATCAGATCGCGAATTGAAACCGTCGAGTAAAGTAAAGTGCAAAGTAAAGTTGTGTGAATAAAATCATTGTAATAATCGTAATCCGAAAGAACCTGCGTTTTATTTGGTACGAATTGTATCGGGAAATAAAACAACGTCTACACGGGATTTAGTAAAACCCAAGAACGTAACAATATGAAATGTGGAAGCGATAGAAATATAAATTTGATATATTTTTACTCATGTTTTTCAATTTTATTTTGAGGATTCAAAAGTTTTACATTTTCAAAATAAATATAATTTGTTTGTTTACATTTTTTTTGTCAAGTGACGTTGACACTAATATAATTTACAACAAAAAAATTCCATGTGGTTGTTGTATCGTTTGTTGTACAACAACACTTGCTGTTACCTTTTATTATTATACCATGATATCCGTACTAAAAATTATTAATATTAGCTGTGTCTGTTTACTCGATATTTGGTAACAATTGTTACGAAATGTTACTTTTTGTTGTCTGTTTACTCAAAAGTCAAGTAAAAAAGAGCGAAATTTGACAGTTATACTCTCGGTAAATTTCTTCCACTAAGATGTATCCAGCACAGTTCGATGTTTATTTCAAGTGTTCGCCAAATTCATTTTATTTTATGAATTTTATTCCTATGCATTATCCAGAATAAAAACGGTTTACTCCGAAATAGTACTTACAGAGTAAATGTCACTGGAAAAGTAATCAGCTAATAATATCAATCTACATTCAAGTAGTCACTTTCAAATAGTAAAGCGTTTCTGCTTTTGAAAACGTCGCGTCTATTGTGGGTAACGCGAGCGATGTCACAATTTGGTTCATACACTCTTTTCAGGGAATCATTCCTCACCTAAACAACTCTACGATTGACTATAAACGCTTTCCAGAAAGGTCCCCTTTCAACAACAGCTGGTGTCTACATAATATTATTAATTCCAATCACTAAGTGTGTAAATTTTTTGCATCATGCTGCAAAACTCCAAATCCTTATTACTTAATGTGAGAGGTATGCGTGCTAAATCGAAATCTCTTACTATTGTATTAAACACTAATAATTATTAATATTAAACGTTTCAGTTGGGCTATTTAACCAAACTATTTCGGCAGGACTGAAGTATTTTGCTCCACCTGTTAAATATGAGGGTATTTAAAAATTAAATGAAAACTGCAAATTTTTCTAATAACTAGAATTTCAGATTTTAAACAGGTGGAAAGGCCGAAGTTACGTATTATGGAAAGGGTGCCGCAGTACCCACCTAACCTGAGGCCTCCTAAGATGCAAAAAAAATTACGGTTTATGCGTGGTCCTGAACTTGTTCATAATACTCTTCTTCATAAACAGTATGGAATAATTGCAACTGGAGGAGGACGCTTGCGTTGGGGGCATTTTGAAATGATGCGTCTAACAATCGGTCGCAAAATGGATGTAAACAGAATGTTTGCCATATGGAGGGTTCCGGCACCATGGCAGCCGGTCACTAAAAAAGGCCAAGGGCAACGTATGGGCGGAGGAAAAGGTGCAATTGATCATTATGTTACACCAGTGAAAGCTGGTAGAGTAATTTTGGAAATATCGGGTAAATGTGAATTTGCTGAAGTGAAGCCGTTCCTTGAATTAGTAGCCAACATACTGCCATTCAAGGCTGAAGTTGTATCACAAGATATTATCGATGAACGCGAAAGAACAGAGTCGATATTGGAAAAAGATAATATGAATCCATTCACAATGAAATATGTAATACAAAACAATCTAAATGGGTGTCATCGTTGGCTGTCACCTGTAGATCATAAGTGGTTCGGAAAATATATATAAAGTTGCATGTAGTAGCATTTAACTTTATTATGCGATTGTATATAAGTTGCAATATGTTTTCTTGGCCTCATTAACACATAAGCGTCAATAAACATACATAGTAATCATATATCAAGTTTTTTTTATATGGGATGGTTTATAGGCGACATTATAAAAAGTTTATTGCAGATCGAAGTAGTTACCTTCAGATACTATATTCCACCTGTACAAAAACACTACAAATATTTTAGTAGTGTACCCGATTGCAACATTGTGGTTTTTAGTGTACAATATGTAAAACAATACGATTGTTCCAGCGAGCGGAACACTATTTTTAATGTTCCGACTGGGGTACACTGCGATTTTTTGTACTCAAAGTTTTGTACCGGTGGTATACGACATATGTACGTGTTTTTGTCACACTTAATAAAATTAAAGATATTATGGATGGCTGTCAGTTGGAAAATGGCGTGGGTTTTATGCGATGAAACGATATTATGAATGTCGTTAGAGGACGACACACTTGTTAAATATACTGTAGACAGCGGCGAAGAAATTAAAAAAAAAAAACAAATTTGGCGAAGACGGAAATCTTACATAATTCCGACCCAATCTACTAATCTATTGCAATCAGACAATTCTGGAGGCAATGGGATAGTTCACGCCCCGTCGTCATCCTGTGATCGTAGTGCTACAAGCTCTCAGCCTACTGGCAAAAAGGGATCTGACTTTATTATCCAACCTTCCGAGACAGGCGGAGATTCAAAATCAAATTCCGAGTGTGAACACGAGAGTTCAAGGTAGACCATAGCAACTTACAAATTAGATTTTTTCATATTGTGGCCTGTTTCGCCAAAATCATATACAAAATCTGTGACTTTTTATGTAATGTTACCGTTTTTGTTTGTAAGTTTCGTCTCATGGCATAATTACACAAGGTAGTCTCATGCAGACTTATGATTCCAATTTTTTCATAATTTTACTTTTGACAACATTCAGCTTTCAAAATTAAAGGGAACCCCACCCATTCTCGATTTTAATTTGTCAAGATTTTCAATGGGCTGGTAAATCAATACCAATGCTTGTTAAGATTTGTAACTTTTGCACATATATACATATTTGAAGATTTAAAAGAGAAGAAAAATAATTTACAAAAAAATTTTGTTGTTGTTTTGTTGTTGTTTTTTGTAATTAAAGAAAAGTCCTTATTTTTGATGGCGGGCATGATAACTCCTCACTGGAACATCGGAATCTGAAAATTCCAACGGTGTTAGAAAGAGTACATGTCTGGCTCTCGTATGAACTGGGATTATTGACTTCGCTCTAAAATTAACAAAATGGCGGACCTTTGAATATTTTTGGAAAATCGCCAATTTTTTACCAAAACCAAAGTTAAAAAATAAGGAAGATCTTCACAGATTGGCTTTATCCTAGTTCATACGATAGCTATACACTCACTGAGAATCGTGTAAAAATTTGAATTCGATTGGATTATTAGTTTTTGAGTTATCGTGCCCGCCATTCGCAAAAAAATGTTTAGAGAAAAACGCGTTTAAAGTTTGAGAAGCCCTTCAGCCGTCACTTGATGGTGACACAATAAATCGGCTATATCTTCAAGAGTTCTTGAGATTTTCATTTGAAAATTTGTAGGGACATTCTTTAATTAGTGTAGATTCGAATTATATCAACAAAATTTTTGACCCCGAGAATGGGGGGGGTCCCCTTAAATGAAAATATCCTCCTTCGAAATGTACGCACAACGCGTGTTCAGTGGCAAAACAAACAATACTCACTTGTGGTATATAATGTCAGGGGTGCCTATACATTTTAACTCTGGTATTTTTGGGCATACATTTTTGGTTTTGGGAAAATTTAAATTATAAATTACTTATTTTTCATATTGAGGTTTGTTAGCCAAAGTCGAATGCATATGTAATGTTTTGAAAGATATTAAAATATGTTATCTAAAATCAATTTGTTTAAAGATGAATTTTACAACATTATTAGGGAGAATATGAAAAGAAAGTAAATTATGAGTTGTTGTGACCTAATTGTACCAAGGTTTATATCAACACATCGGATATAACGACGAAATCCAAAAATCCCCAAATTTCTGCCGTTTATAGTCCACAAAAAAGAACATTGCTTGTAACGATATCGCTGATAACGAAATATCGGCTGTAAAAACATATTTTTGCAAAATATTCTAATTTTCCTATATATTTTAACGACGAAACTTACAAACAAAAATATTTCTCACTAAATTCCAAACACACAGCAAGTTCGAAGGTAGTGTTATGTTTTTATTTTATTTTTTGTTTAATTTCTATTCTTTATTTTCTATGCATTCTTTCTACGTATATGAGATGAATAAAAATTTTATTTATTATGTTATTTATATACCAAAATAAAAAATTCACTTCAGATTTATGCATAGACATAAGAGATAATGAAGAACAGCATGGGCTTTGCATTTGATTTCTCAGATACGTTTTTACTCGACGTTGGGTTGAAAACCTTCTTTCTGGTGATTCTGTGGTTACCGGTATCGTTATTAAGATTTGTAACAATATATTTATATTTGGAAATAGATTTTCGTCACATACTACGATCGCAACAAGTGGATTAGATCCACAGAATGCGAGATATTACTGCAACACCTAAAATACGAATTATACAATTCTGTGATGAAAATTTACTGCATCACAACAACCTAATAACAGAAGTATAATTTCATACGTTAATATTAATATTGAAAATATCTAATTGGTGTATAACAACGTTGCCTATAATCCTACTGGGCGTACAGAAAAATTCAACTTCAAAAGTGTCAAAGTTGAAAATGTTAAACTTGAAATTTTGTACGCTTGACGTATTTCGGTAACATTCATATAAATAAATACATGTGTTCTACTTTTGTGATGAAAAATGTCGAACGAACTAGTTGAATTTTAGGTAGGGCTGTAATTGTTGAGATACGATTTTATGTAATAAGAATTTTTAAAAAATTGAAAACTTTAGAGATGCGTTTGTCAAAGCTAACTATAGTTATTTTTTGAATTGAATATATTTTGACAAAAAATGAAGAAATGTAGCTATTAGGGTCGTAATTTTTTGCGCTCCGTACAAAAATACTCACCTTTTCACCTTTATAGGATTTGTTAGACGTCCGTATTACCCAAATACGCAAGGACTTTATTTGCATCTGTGCAATTGAAAATGGATTGAAAAATGTCTACATGTATAGAAAAACAATTTACAGAGTTTGTAAGACGTCCGTATTACCCAAATACGCAAGGACTTTATTTGCATCTGTGCCAATTGAAAACGGCGAAAATGGATGAAAACATTTTTTTTAATTGATTGAAAAATGTTTACATTTATAGAAAAACAAAATTTTTAATGACTGAAAATCTATTTTCAAAAAACAAAAATCTATGTTGAAAATTTTCAACTTTATATTTTTATACGGAATGCGTATTTGGGTAATACGGCATTTACATTAGAACTTTTTACCGGGTTAACCTACTTTATAAGGATTTATTTGGCATATATTCAAAGGAATTGAAAATTTAAACCCACTGGGTTAACCAAATCCGGTTTAATGTAAACGACCTTTAATATTCATTGAAATACATGTATTCATGGTACAATAATACAAGGTAGGGCAGCTTGAGGTGAATAACAAAAAAGCAACTATGTACGTGTGGCCTCTTCTGCCAAAAATAAAATAAATATACACCACAAGTGTTTGTGTTCATTTGACATTTTTTCAACACAAAACTAAAAACGCGAAAAATGAATGAAATGTTATGATTTCTTCCCAAAATCCAGTAGGGAATATTATCAAATGTTTGTTTCATCCATAACAAAGTAATTACTTCCAGACGAACGTGTTAAAAACAATTAAATTTGAATATATTTCAATTTATTTTGAATTTATTTGACATAGTATTCAAAACAATACACACACATACACAAAATATGTATTTTGGTTTGATGGAACAAGCCACCGTGAGAAAAAATTGTAATGAGTTGGTAGCTGTGCCCCACCTTGTAATAATTATACCATGCATGTATTTAACTTTTGAGGTCAATAAATTCGTACACATACGCGTGAATTTTGGTACGACCCTCATGATACAGAACATGGCCCAATAATAAGGTCCGATAATATTTTTTGTATATTTATTCTTCAGCCATTGAATAAACCTTGATATTTCCCAAACAAGGTTTATTCATAAGGTTCAAATCTTGCCATCTTAAAGAAAATTGAAGGACATAAATCCCCGGCCAAAGACTAAATCATGGAAATTGTGTTGACCGTATAAAATTTTTCCATAGGCGTATTTAACCTCCGCCGATAATTGTGAATAGCACCAAGGGGTCGATTCCAATATAGGCTAACATAATATCTTCGATTTTATGAGTAGCTGGGATTTCTGGACAGATTTCAACACATAACATAAAATATGTGGACCATTCGGTGAACGGGGTTATAACTGAGCCGAAGTTTCCTTTCCGTCCGCCTCTATGAATTTATTTTTATTGAATGTTTATAATTTAAAAAGCCTCAATTTAAAGACCATTTTTGAAATCGAAATGTAATATTAAAAAATATAAAAATTTTATTGACAATTTACTTTACAAACAATAAAGAAAAAAGTTTGAAACCATATGATTGTCACTTACACCTTATTAAATACACATTGATTCAAGGTGTATTTAATAAGGTGTAAGTGACAATCATATGGTTTTAAACTTTTTTCTTTATTGTTTGTAAAGTAAATTGTCAAAAACATTTCAAATATTACATTTCGATTTCAAAAATGGCCCTTAAATTTAGTCTTTTTCAATAATAAAAATTCAAGAAATCTACATTCATGAGGCGGACGGAAAGGAAACGTAGGCTTAAATCAGTTATAACCCCGTTCGTCGAATGGTCCACATATTTTACGATATGTGTGGAAATCTGTCCATAAATTCATTATACTCATAAAATGGAGGAGATTATGTTAGCCTATTGGAATCGATCCATTGGTGCTTGTTACAATTTTCGGCGAAGTTTAAATACGCCTATGGAAAGATTTTATACGGTCAACACAATTTCCATGATTTAGTCTTTGGCAAGGGATTTATGTCGCTCAATTTTCTTTAAGAAGGCAACAAAATTGAAAGGCACTACTCCATAGAAAAATAGATTGTAATTCACAATATAAACAACATCACAAGGAAACATCATGTGGGAAACTTAAAATTAATCGCGACCAGGTCTTAAACTTTTTTTCACTGACCTAAAACCGCCAATAACCCAATAATACACAAATTCATTAATCATTCGTCAAATAATATTTCTTGACAAAAATATATTAATAATGGTTTTTGTTTATTTTTGTCAAAAACTGATTGTCAGCATGACAATTTAATTTCTATAACAACAATGTTGTTTTTGTAAAATATTTGTTGTTGTATCTGATGCATACACCTTATTAAATACACCTTGCATTGATTCATAAGGTTAACAAGGAGGCGAATTCGAAGACATCATTAACTGTCAAATTTATTGTTTGAAAAAATATTTTTATTTGAACCAAATACAGTAAATATAGTTGTGTCTGGTTACTCGATAGTGAAAAAAAGTGAAAAATGAATGAAAATGGACTTCTTTTCAAAATCGAGTCGGAAATACGATTTAGATATTAAGTCTGTCTGCGTACTCGATATTTTGTAACAATAGTTACAAAATGTTGTTTTTTTACACAAAACTTCAGTAAAAAATATTGAATTGAGAGAGCTATTTTGAAAAACTTACTGGGAAAATTTACTCAGTAAAGTTTTGTACAAGCAAGCAAGTTTTCAACAACTTGGAAAATTTGGACAAAATGTTGTCTTTTTTACTTCTTGTAATTTGATTGTTTGAATAGAAGGATGTCACTTATTTCCACAAAATAACTTACTGAGTAATTATTACTGGAAAAGTATGCAGACATAACCATTGATTCATCCACAAACCATAAATTCCTTCTTACCAATATTTTAAAATTCATCAATTCAATAAGATTGCAACGAAAGTTCAGTTAATCCAAAAATTTCCAATATTGACCAGTACAGGTAAATTTCAATAAAGCATTTATGTTTTTTTATAAAATAAATTTATTTGTTATATTACAAAATTGTGTGAATTTCTACACTTTTTGTGTATATAAAACTTATCTATTAGAAATGAAGTGCTTAAGGTCATCACGATATAGTACCGTTTTATCCACTTTTATGCTATTTTCTTCCACCTGGCATGTATTGGTCCATTTCCAAATTAATCTTCTTGCGAATGTGTTGCGAAATGAAGCATACAAAATGTTTTGTACTTCGATTGGCATCTGATCTTTATAGTAAGAGTTATGTTTTGTTTTATCAATGTAGTAAAGCATATTTCGTGATTTGGAAATTTTTGATGTAAAGTTATGACATATCTCACACAAAAACAATAAACCACCAGGAACAAAGAATTTGCTTTCGCCGTTGTTTAGAGAAATTCCTAGACGAGATGAATTGTCCTTTAGTGTATAATGTTTCATTTCAGAAAAAAATGTTTCTAATTCTCGCAGTTTATAAAGTCTTTTGCTGCGCACTAAAAGCACATTGCCTTCTTTGAATGGTTTATTAACGCTTTTTGCAAATTTTGCACACATTTTTATACGTTCGCTTAAAGGCAGTCTTCGTATATCTTTTCCACCCAGAATAATACCGTCGATAATGTGAAGACAACAAATCCGTGTTTGTGTACGGCCTTCTCCGTTGTATTCAAAAACTAGCTCGCCATAAAAAAGTGACTTGGGTGATATCTCAAACATATGTTCAACTGGTTCCCATTTCCTCATATCAGTGTATCGGAACAGCTTGCCCCGGGTTGTACAAATAAAAAAACTGCTGGCGTTTGTGTTAGTTTCTCTTCTTCCTACTGGTACAAAATACCAGTCATAGACACTATCTATCTTTTTTGATAGGTCATCCACTGACAAAAGTTCATCTGATGCTGAGTGAAAAAACAATTTGTCCTCAAACCAATCACTAAGAAAGTCTTCAACAAACTTTTCAACAGATTTGTTCTCTGGAGCTTGTCTTAATTTATCCGGTAATTTCCACAAATCAAGACATTTTCTTCTACATTCGGATTGTCTTATTTCTTTAAGCTGTGTATTGTTACAAAATGCCGTAATTTTTTTCAATCCCAGAATTTGATTTTTTCCTATGGAATCATTCGATTTTTTAATATAATCCACGAAAGCCAAGTCTTCTCTAATAAGATCCATATCAACGATTTCTAGTACATCTTCATTATTGTTCTGATTTAGTATGTTATTGATGTTATTTAGATACTGGCATATATGATCAGTGTCGGGTTTTTTCCACTTACATACTAAATATCTTTCCGAATTTGCTGGCCTACTGCTATTTGGTTTAATTATAGAAATTTGGTCAAAGCATTTGTACATCAAAAAAATTAGGCCCACACTAAATGGGGTAAATATGTCAAACAATTTACATACGAAGCTTCCATTGTTGCGAAGTATTTTTAACGCTGTTAGACATTGGCAAAGGTATAACTGTTTAGATAAGATTTCTTGAATATTCTCTTCTCCTTCGACAGAAAATCCTCCATCTGCCATTACGAAATGGACACCTTCGACTGTGTGTTTGCGAATATAGTTATTAAACGAATCCTGGTTTGCTTCTACGTACACGTCGCCATCATTATTTACACCATAATATGGATCGAAAGACTCGGGAGACCCAGCAAAAAATTTGTCCAATTTAAAATCATTAGGGCCTTTCAAGGTAAAACCAAACCCCTTAGCTTCCCATGAATTTGATTTTTTCCTATGGAATCATTCGATTTTTTAATATAATCCACGAAAGCCAAGTCTTCTCTAATAAGATCCATATCAACGATTTCTAGTACATCTTCATTATTGTTCTGATTTAGTATGTTATTGATGTTATTTAGATACTGGCATATATGATCAGTTCGGGTTTTTTCCACTTACATACTAAATATCTTTCCGAATTTGCTGGCCTACTGCTATTTGGTTTAATTATAGAAATTTGGTCAAAGCATTTGTACATCAAAAAAATTAGGCCCACACTAAATGGGGTAAATATGTCAAACAATTTACATACGAAGCTTCCATTGTTGCGAAGTATTTTTAACGCTGTTAGACATTGGCAAAGGTATAACTGTTTAGATAAGATTTCTTGAATATTCTCTTCTCCTTCGACAGAAAATCCTCCATCTGCCATTACGAAATGGACACCTTCGACTGTGTGTTTGCGAATATAGTTATTAAACGAATCCTGGTTTGCTTCTACGTACACGTCGCCATCATTATTTACACCATAATATGGATCGAAAGACTCGGGAGACCCAGCAAAAAATTTGTCCAATTTAAAATCATTAGGGCCTTTCAAGGTAAAACCAAACCCCTTAGCTTCCCATGATTTTCGGTATAGAATGTATTCAGAAAATCCTCCGGGACCTATATCACAAGTAAAGAAAATTATGTGTATTGCGAAGAATGTATTTCATTTATATTTACCTGCGCATACATCGGCAAAGTAGAGCAGATCATTATCATTTATTAACGAGTTACCTTTCTTATCTTTAGGATTGGTAAACATAAAGTCCAACATCGAATCGATGTTTGCCATTTTAACTGCTGCTCTGTTTTGGAATATCGAACTACGTATGGTTTCAAACGGATTACTACGGGAGCGCGCTCTTCTTAAATCTACTTCATTTAGATTATCAAATACATTTTTGGCATTTAATATACCATCGAGTATATCCGGTTCCACAAATTGTGTCTCTCCTTCTAATGTTCTTTTATGTGCGCCGTATTTTATAAAGTTCATGAGGTCTTCGAACGTAAAATAAAAATTATTTTGACTTGAAATCCAAGATACCTCTTCCGGAATAAGTATTTCCTCCGTAGTAATATCTGAGTTATCTCCTAGGGCAAGAAAGGTACCTTGCTTTAATCCCAACCCTTTTCTACCATCCTGTTGAAATGCTACAATTGGTTCAAGACGACCTTGACTTTGCTTTCCAAGACCTTTGTCGGTTTCATATCCCATCTTCTTCATCATTTCCATAGCTTTGCTTGAATAACTTCTTGACCATTCTGTTTTCATTTTCTTTGGAGGGGCTTCGAACAAATCGGTTTCACTGTTGTCTTCTTCCATTTTTCGATATATTTTCTAATTTAGTGTAAGCAAAAAAATAAAAATCCCCTACTTCTATAATTTGTTTTGTTTTTGAATAAAATCGTATCTTGAGTATCTGTGGATGCACCTAATTTAAAAGCGACCGTGTCTATTGATGGTATCATGGCACAAAGAATAGGTAGTCCATTTAGAGCAGCTGATGTCTTGATTAACTGCCAAAGTGGTAAATTTTACTTGAATTCGATGTGCAATGTTGCCAACCATGTAAAATATTATATGGAAACATTTGACAGATGGTGGAGGCGAAGCGAACGTTTTATACCATAGACAGACGACAGCAAGGTAGATATACAAGGTAGCCGCATCGGCGAATTTCTACAACAAACATCGGTTGTTGTATTTTGATATGTCAAAAATATTTTGCAAAAACAAACAGATTGACAAGATTTTTTTTACAAAAATTCTTGTAGAAAATGTTAATAAAAGTAGTGCCAAAAAAGCTTTTCTAAATTCGGAGATTTTCATGTATAATTTTGTTTTTTAATTTTTTGGTTCAACACTACAACAACATTTTTGACATTTATTTGTCCAACAGCTGGGCCGATGCGGCTACCTTATTAAATATACCTTGGACGACAGCCTTAATTTGCATTAAAAAGTTCTTAATTTGAATTAATATTTACCCCTGACAGACGCGTGTTTCTGCATTTATGAACCGGTTTTTGTTTCAAAACTATTGTTTGTCTGTGTGTAGGATGAAAATGTTCACAATTGTTTCCAATATTTTTTGGGATTACATCTTTATGAAATAGATACATAACTGAATGGAAGGATAACAGCTAAAATGGTAGTAAAAAAGCTCCCGATTTGAAAAAATTTTGAAATTTGCTTTTATTGTAATATTTTTTTTCATAAACGTAAACAAATTTGACAACAATCAATTTATTTTCTTCAGCATTGCCATATTAGAATTGTTTAATTCAGTATAAATTCAGTTTGATTTTGTGCATTTACGACACATAAAAATGAGGATAATGTACAAGTTAATTTGAATTAAGACTGTTAATGCAAATTAAGGCTGTCGTCTGTCTAGGCTATTAGTTTTGATACATTACCTTATTATTGCATCATGGTTGGTAACAATGCTAAATAAATAGGTAGTACATTTAGCGCGGCTGATGTCTCGATTAACGGACATTGTACCAACCATGATGCAATAATAAGGTGATGTACCAAAACAAAAACCTTTGTTTTGTCTCGACCATCTGTCAAATTTTTTCTTATAATATATCACATGGTCGGCAACACTGCACATCAAATTCAAGCAGAAATTACTCACTCTGACAATTAATCGAGACATCAGCTGCTCTAAATGTACTAACTATTTATTTAGCATTGCTACCATCCATGATGCAATAATAAGGTAATGTATCAAAACTAAAACGTTCACTTTGCCTCCAACATCTGTCAAATGTTTCCATATAACATTTTCAATGGTTGGCAACATTGCACATCGAAATCAAGTAGAAATTACCCACTTTGACAGTTAATCAAGACATCTGCTGCGCTAAGTGGACTACCTATTTATTTAGCATTGGTACCAACCATGATGCAATAATAAGGTAATGTATAAAAACTAAAACGTTCGATTTGCCTCGATTATCTGTCAAACTTTTCCATATAATATTTCAAATGGTTGGCAACACTGCACATCGAAGTGAAGTAGAAATAACCCACCTTGACAGTTAATCAAGACATCAGCTGTGCTAAATGGACTACCTATTTATTTAACATTGGTACCAACCATGATGCAATAATAAGGTAATGTATCAAAACTAATACGTTCGCTTTGCCTCGATTATCTGTCAAACTTTTCCATATAATATTTCAAATGGTTGGCAACACTGCTCATCGAATTGAAGTAGAAATAACCCACTTTGACAGTTAATCAAGCTGTGCTAAATGGACTACCTATTCATCATGGCATAATGAATAGGTAGTCCATTTAGAGCAGCTGATGTCTTGATTAACTGTCAAAGTGAATAATTTGTTGCATGTGAAAATAATTTTTTGTATAAAAATAAAAATAAAATAAAAAAAAAAAAACACAACCGGCAGCAATTACCCGAGATGATGTGTTTGCTGCTGCCGGCCAGAAAAAAGTGAGCCGGATACAGTAAGCTCAGTACAGCGGTTGAGAAATTCATGCGTTGCCATCTGGTCTGAAATTTAGGCCTGGCAAATACAACCCTGTCGAGATGTAGGGATCAAGAGGTGAGATAAAGGAAAAATGATAAATGTCGGAAAATGCGCGAGAATCCCAGAAAAGTGGGAAAATGACATCTGGCTGCGGGGGTATAAAAGGCATAACGGGGGGGAAATTCGAGCAAATTTATTTGGTGTTTGGTCGAGAGACTATAATTTATAACAAATTTTCAAAACAAAAAAAAAACAAAAATCCCCAAGATAAACAAAAAATCCCCAAAATTTATTAAGACTTGTGTTTGTTTTTTATTGTTGAGTGCCTTATGCCTGCGAGCGAACAAAATAAAATCTCGCCAACATCCTCATCAACTAGAAAGGCAAGTCGTTGCACGGAGGAGGTCATCCGATTTTTTATTTTGGGAAATATTCGGCAAAAAGATTTATGTGGCTCACGGTTTTAGCCGTAGAATAATTGGCTGGAAGACGGTTAAGCCCAAAGTGAAGACAGCACGTCAACGCAAGCTTGGACGTAGTTGGCCAATAAATTGATGTGTCTTTCCGTCCAAAAAAATCCTGGAAAAATAAGTATCTGGAAACCAGGTAACCATTGTTTTGTCGAAATTTAAATGCCAAGAGCCTGAGCGCCTTGAAATCTGGAAGTAAAAACAAAAAATTAATAATTATTAATCAAAGACCAAATTAGAAAAAAAAATCACAAAATAACGAAAAAATCAAAAAAACAAAACAAAAACATATTTACTAAATTTTAAGTGTTAGATTAATTATGTTATGTGTTAGTATTTAGTGATTAATATCTAAGATTTGAAATTGTGAGAATTTTTAACGCCTAACAAATGCGACAAGTGTAGGGTTACCCCAAATGTCTTATTGGAAACTTGCATTTGCCTATTTGGGGACCAATTGGTAATCTCCCCTATAACGACTTAAGAGAGCTCTTTTAGGTGAGGTAATAATATAATAGAGTGGCCAGAAGGAGCCGTTTCAATAGATTGCGTGGGTAGTCTGAAACAGTGACTTATCGATAGCTTTAGGTGTTAGGAATTCAGAATATTGACTATGTGTTTATGTTAGGTTTAAGTAATCAAGAAATAATGAAATTAATAAATATTGTTTATGTGTGAATGTATAGATTAATATGAATTGCTAATTGGTTTCTGTAAGGGAGGAAGATTGGACGATGTTGCAGTAAGGTGAGTGTGTGTGGAAACAGGGGCCCTTTAAAATTAAGTGTTTATGAGGACGAGAAGGGTCAAGGTTGGGCGGGCGAAGTGCGGGAATAATGGACACCAAATTCCCTCGTTATGGTCGTATGTGTGTTGTCGTTTTTGTATTGTTGTTTTTTTGTTCTATTTTCGTTTTCCTTCTTAATTGTTCGACCCCTAGGGCTGATGGTGGACGGGTTGGGAATTCACCCCTAAAGCGGTGCCCCGACTGAGCTGGTTGGAACCCCACCAGGAGCCGCAGTAGGCGGTACGCAACAAATTTCTACTTGAATTCGATGTGCAATGTTGCCAACCATGTAAAATGTTATATGGAAACATTTGACAGATGGTGGAGGCAAAGTGAACGTTTTAGTTTTGATACATTACCTTATTATTGCATCATGGATGGTAGCAATGCTAAATAAATAGTTAGTACATTTAGAACAGCTGATGTCTCGATTAATTGTCAGAGTGAGTAATTTCTGCTTGAATTTGATGTGCAGTGTTGCCGACCATGTGATATATTATAAGAAAAAATTTGACAGATGATCGAGACAAAAACAAATGTTTTTGTTTGATGCATCACCTATTCATTGTGCCATGGGTAGTCCATTTAGAGCAGCTGATGTCTTGATTAACTGTCAAAGTGAGTAATTTTTACTTGAATTCGATGTGCAATGTTGCCAACCATGCGAAATATTATAAGGAAAAATTTGACAGATGGTCAAGACAAAAACTAGGTTTTTATTTTGATACATCACCTTATTATTGAATCATGGTTGGTACCATGGCACAATGAATAGGTAGTCCATTTAGAGCAGCTGATGTCTCGATTAACTGTCAATATGGGTAATTTCTACTTAAATTCAATGTGCAATGTTGCCAACCACGTGAAATATTATAAGGGCAAATTTGACAGATTTTCGAGACAAAAACAAAGGTTTTTGTTTTGGTGGGTAATTTCTACTTGAATTTGATGTACAGTGTTGCCAACCATGTGATATATTATAAGAAAAAATTTGACAGATGGTCGAGACAAAAACAAAGGTTTTTGTTTGATGCATCACCTTATTATTGCATAATGGCTGGTACAAATTGTTACTGTACATGGCCCAAAATTAAGGTAGTCCGATAAGGCCAGGCGATTTCACCCGTGCTGACAAAATGCTTTCATATTTGACCATTTTGACAGTTTGGAGGGAATTTTCAACTAAATTTGCCGCTAATATTCGCCTCGAAAAGTTTGACAGATAATCGAGGCAAAGCGAACGTTTTAGTTTTGATACATTACCTTATTATTGCATTATGGTTGGTACCAATGCTAAATAAATAGGTAGTCCATTTAGCGCAGCTGATGTCTTGATTAACTGTCAAAGTGGGTAATTTCTACTTGAATTCGAGTGCAGTGTTGCCAACCATTTGAAATGTTATATGGAAAAGTTTGACAAAGGTTGTTGTTGTGATACATCACCTTATTATTGCATCATGGTACCGACCAAGGTATATTTAATAAGGTAGTCGCAATCGGCCCAGCTGTTGGTGCAAATAAATGTCAAAAATTTTGTTGTAATGTTGAACCAAAAAATTAAAAAAACAAAATTATAAATGAAAATCTCCGAATTTCGAAGAGTTTGTTTGGCAATACTTTTATTAACATTTTCTACAAGAATTTGTGTAAAAAATATTGTCAATCTGTTTGTTTTGGCAAAATATTTTTGACATATCAAAATACAACAACCGATGTTTGTTCTAGAAATTCGCCGATGCGGCTACCTTGTATATCTACCTTGGTACCAACTATTGAGTAAACAGACATACCTATTATTAATGCATCATGGTGTTTGCTTGGGTTGCGTAATCTAGTTCACGAAGCGGAGCGATCTTTCTCGTTCCTTTTTTAAAAATAAACCAGTTCCTTAATATAGTTCCATACAGTTCCTTTGAATCTATCTTTAATCGGTCGTTTTGTTTATTTTTGCCCTCATAATTCTGTGTAGATTTGTTAATAGATGAAAAAGTTGAAAATTGTTCAAAAATTAAAAAAAATTCACAAAATATTTTTTTAATAAATAAATAACATATTTTAAATAAATAAAATAAGTTTATTATTTACACAATAATAAATTAATTTGAAAAACGAGTGAGAAGGAATGAAGAATATAGGAATGAAGAAACGAGATCAAAAAGGAACGGGATCAAAAAAGGAACAAGATCAGAAGAATGAACTATATTAATTAAAGAGCTAGAACTAGTTCCGATCGTTCCTTTCTCGGAATATTTCCAATGAACTAGTTCGTTTCGGAACTACCCAACTCTAGTGTTTGCAGAAGAAGAAAAATACGCAGGATTAATTATAGAGTTGGGCAATCTAGTTCACGTAGCGGATCGATCATTCTCGTTTCTTTTTTAAAAAGGAACTAGTTCCTTAAGGTAGTTCCTTTGAACTATGTAATTACTTCATAATTAAGAGTCGAACCACGAATGAGAGAGGGAACAACGCTCGTCTGTACATGGCATTAGACTTTTCAATACAAAAAGTCGATTAATCGAAAGTCGATTTACTTATCCCTAATCATAATTTGCCTAAACCTCATTCGTAAACAACACGGTTTCCATTTTCCATTTAGTCATCCCACCTCATTCGTAAACTTTCGGTTATACCATTTTGAGTTCATCTTTATCGGCCATTTTGTCTTCTCCTCCCATTCGTTAGCAGGTGGAACGTTTTTCAATTTTTTCAATCGTGGTTTTTATTTTAGCTCCGTTCCAAAACCTAAAAGAATTGGCATGTTTACTAGATTTGCGTTCCCGAACTTTTCAAATTATTTTGTACTCTGAGACTTGAAATGTTTCCCTTTTACTAGCTTTACTATTAAACAAGTGAAAAAGCGTTAAGTTCGGCCGGGCCGAACTTTGGATACCCTCCACCACAGGTATACTGACAGGTATTTGAAATGAAAAAGTGGACCGATATTTATAATTTTAAATAGCGATATTTGGTACCCAATATGACCCCACTGTACCAAATTTCAGCGAATTCGGTTGAAAATCGCGCTTAAGAACCCCAAAATACCGAAAATTTGGGGTGCCCTTATATGGGGGCTACCAGAAAAAGTGGGCCGATATTTATAATTTTTAGTAGAGATATTTGGTACGCAATATGAACCCAATGTACAAAATTGCAGCGAATTCGGTTGAAAAGCGCGCTCAAGAACCCCAAAATACCGAAATTGGGGGGTACCCTTATATGGGGGATATCCGAAAAAATTGACCTATATTTAAATTTTTTTGTGGAGAGATTTGGTACCTGCTAAGAACTCAAAATACTAAATTACAGCCAATTCGGTGAAAAATACGATAAAAACCCAAAAAATACTGAAAATTAGGAGGTACAGTTATATGGGGGCTACAAGAAAAAGTGGACATATATTTATAATTTTTTGTGGATACATGTACTACAAATTCGCTTGAAAAACGCGCTCAAGAACCCCAAAATACCGAAAATTGGGGGTACCCTTATATGGGAGCTATGCCTAAACGTGGACCGATATATCCCATCTTCGAACTGCAGACAAAAGACAACCCTATGCAAAATGTCAGCACCCTATCTCAATTCCTTCAGAAGATAGCGTGATTACAACAGACGGACGGACATGGCTAGATCGTCTTAGAATTTTACCCTGATCAAGAATATATATACTTTATAGGGTCGGAAATGAATATTTCGATGAGTTACAAACGGAATGACAAAATTAATGTACCCTCCATACTATGGTGGAGGGTATAAAAAGTACTGGAACAGACCATTTGTTGGCGAAGGTTTGCGTACGACGTCGCTTGAGTCTTGGCAGAACGACGATTAACAAGCGAATTTTATGAAGGCTGGAGTCTTGGAGGCTTCCCACTGTTCTTTTGAATCTCTCTCTCTCTCTCTTTTATTATTTTTTTTTCGTTTTTCCATATATAGTTCCTTTGCTCCATATAGTTCCTTTGATCCATATAGTACCTTTGCTCCATATAATTCCTTTAGTCCATACAATTTCTTTGCTCCATATAGTTCCGACTCCTACATAGTTCTTTTGAATCTCTCTCTTTCATCATTCTTTTTTTCGTTTTTCCATATATAATTCCTTTGCTCCATATAGTTCCTTTGCTCTTTATAGTTCCTATGCTCCGTACAGTTCCTTTGCTTCAAATAGTTCAAAAAAGGAACTGGATCAGAGAAAGGAATTATATTAATTAAACAACTGGAACTAGTTCCGTTCGTTCCTTTCTCGGAATAGTTCCAATGAACTAGTTCGTTCCGGAACTACCCAACTCTAGTAACTCTAGGTGCAGAAGAAGAAAAATACGCAGTAAAGCATTTTATTTGGATTGTTGAATTTTGGTAAATTTATTAATGGCAGCTGGACCCATAGCCGAAAGGAATCAAGGTAAGTAAATGTATATAAATATCTAAAGTTATATTTAGAAATTTGCTTTCAGATGCCACCATATATGTTGGCGGTCTTGATGATAAAGTCTCTGAAACCTTGTTGTGGGAACTTTTTGTACAGGGCGGACCTGTTGGTAAGTAAATATCGTTATATACAGTCGTACATGGATTATTGTTAATTATAATTGTAGTTAACGTGCACATGCCTAAGGACAGAGTCACACAAATGCACCAAGGTTATGGCTTTGTTGAATTTTTAAGTGAAGATGATGCGGACTATGCTATAAAAATAATGAACATGATAAAATTATATGGAAAGCCAATAAGAGTGAATAAGGCATCAGCACATCAAAAGAATTTGGATGTGGGTGCTAACATATTCATTGGAAACCTAGACTCAGAAGTTGACGAGAAATTGCTCTATGATACTTTTTCCGCATTTGGTGTAATATTGCAAACACCAAAAATAATGCGAGATCCAGAAACGGGCAATTCGAAGGGCTTTGCTTTTATAAATTTTGCTAGTTTTGAAGCATCGGATGCAGCGATGGATGCGATGAATGGGCAATATCTTTGTAACCGACCTATATCTGTGTCGTATGCTTTTAAAAGGGATTCGAAGGGTGAGCGTCATGGATCAGCAGCAGAAAGGCTTTTAGCCGCACAAAACCCGTCTTCACATGCCGACAGACCACATCAGCTATTTGCGGACGCTCCAGTTCCGAATATGATTCCTGTTATGCCAGGACAAATTATACCCCCTCCATTATTGGCACCACCGCCCCCCCCGACTGCGAATACATCCGCCATGTTACCACCTCCTCCGCCAGTTCCTCCGCCACAGGCATCGTTTGTACCTCCACCTCCCTTACCACCTATTGGTGGGGCTCAAACTTTGCCACATCCGGTAGGAATTCCTCCTCCACCCAGGATGTTACCCCCCGGTGCGTGGCCATCTGGAACTCCTGCCCCACCTCCACCAAACTGGAGACCACCCTCCAATTTTGCCCCAGCGCCGTTTCCTCCTACACAATTTAATGGCGAGCAACCAGTCGGTTTCCAATATTAACAAATAATTCATACATTAACAAATATTAAGATTTAATAAAACAAAACATGCTACATGTACAGTTGTGTTCATTAAAATAGTAGTGCAGTTGGATTGTAAGTACTGTTTAGAAACACTTAAGTTTTTCTAATTAAATTGCGCAAATAAATAGTTTTATTATTTTTTTATAATTTTCAACACATTTTTCCCGAAACTTTTTTCTTGTAACTTAACGGCCCCTCGTAATATAATGCCGTACTGCTACTGTGTAGTACTCTTCAATAAAAAAAATGCATGGCATTAAATAAGGTGAATTCATGAATTAGTCTTCTCTTCATGTCAACATTTTAATCGCGAAATACCAACCAGAAGATTTCTAATTCGCCTTCCTGTTAACATTATGGATATTGTATATTGTTTTTAACACCCTACCTAAAATTCAACTAGCTCGTTCGATGTTTTTCAAAGTTACCCATGGTACAATTATAAAAGGTAACAGCAAATCCCAGCTGATTTGATTCCAACGTAATACTAGTGTCAATATGAATTTGACAAATTATGTTTTTAAAAATCACCCAACAGGAAAATTGGGAAAGCATACAATTTAAAATTGTTCTGTATTAAATGTGTTCCTGTTTTCAATTTACTCAATCTGCCTGCTGGGAAAGTTTGAGGAAGCAAATCTTTCTTCAAGGAATAACTCGCTATTCCCTGCATTTTCATATGTGTTACACATATATATGGCAATGGCTCAATTATAGGAAAGATGTGGAATAGATAGAAATATAAATTTGATAGATTTTCATTCATGCTTTTCAATTTTTATTTTGAGGATTCGAAAATATTTCATTTTCAAAATAAAAATAATTTGATGATAATTTGTTTGTTTATTTACATTTTTCTGTCAAATGAGTTGACAGAACTTACAACAACAAATTTCCATGTGGTTGTTGTATCGTTTTTTGTACAACAACACTTGCTGTTACCTTCTATTATTATACCATGAAAGTTACCTAACAAAGTTCCTAACAGCCTTACCTAAAATTCAACTAGCTCGTTCGACGTTTTTCACCACAAAAGTAGAACACATGTATTTATATGAATGTTACCGAAATACGTCGACGTACAAATTTTCAAAGTTGAAAAAATTCAACTATGACAGAACGTAGTTTTGTTTTTTTCTTTTGTTGAAAAAAGAAACAAAACATAAAGAAATATATTTTTTTCAATAAGAATGTGAAATATTTGAACACATTTTATAATTTCTTAATTTTATTTCGCGATTTTGTTTAGTTCGCAAAGAGAAATAGATTCGACGTATTTGGGTAATACGGCCGTACAAAACATTTTGTCATGGTGGGGAAGTCGAATATTTTTGTACGCTTCGTTGAATTTTAGGTAACGTTGTAAATTTCAACGAGGCGTACAAAAATATTCAACTTCCTTACTTGGCAAAATGTTTTGTACAGCCGTCATACCCAAATACGTCGAATCCATATTTCTTAGCGAACAAAACAAAATCGCGAAACAAAATTAAAAAATTACAGAATGTGTTCAAATATTTAAAATTCTTGTTTAAAAATTGATATCTTCTTTTTGTTTTGTTTATATTTTCAACAAAAGAAAAAAATAAAATCCATGTTCTGTCATAGTTGAATTTTTTTAACTTTGTAAATTGAAAAATAATAGAATTGTGAAGGAATAAAAAAAACAACTGAATTTACTACTCAAAACGCAATTTTTGGTACAAAAATCGATTTTTTGATTGATAGAAGAGTTTGCCATACACTAGTCAATCTCACACATACACAAAGGAGTTCATCGTTAAGGACAGCTGAGGTATATTTAATAATGTTGTTGTAATGTAGAACCAAAAATGTTGTTGTAATGTAGAACCAAAAAATTAAAAAAAATATATAAATGAAAATCTCCGAATTTTGAAGAGCTTGTTTGGGAATACCTTTATTAACATTTTCCACAAGAATTTGTGGAATCTGTTTGTTTTGGCAAAATATATTCGACAAATAAAAATCAGCGTTCGAAAATAAAGATAATGGTACCGTTCCATAGTGTTCTGTACCGTACCAAGGTGGATAGGTACACTAAAATAACGTACTGTATCGGTACACAAACACTAAAAATATTTTTAGCGTTACTGTTCCGGAGCGCAACGAAAATCTTAGCGTACCTGCTGCGGTACACTAAAAAATCGTAGTGTACCGGCAGCGGTACACAAAAATCGTAGTGTACCGACTGCGGTACATTAAAAATCGTTGTGTTCCACTGGTCGGAACACTAAAAATCTTAGTGTTCCACTTGCCGGAACACTAAAAATCGCAGTGTTCCGGCGGTGGTACACCAAAAATCGTAGTGTTCCACTGGTCGGAACAATACAAATCGTATACACGTCTGTTTTTGAGGTAATATGAGATCAAATAATAAAAAAATAAAACTGAATATAACTTTATTTGCAATTACAAAAGTGAAAATGTCCATTTGAAATAGGTATTTTGGCCAGGTTTTGTGAAAAAATTATACAGCTTTGGATACAATTTTCATTAATTTACACAACGAACATGATTTTCCCATAATATTGGGAGATCTCCTTGTAGAATTGTTTCTTAAAACAATTATACCTGTATCCATCTATGATTCATACTTTTAGGAAATTTTAGCAAAAATATTCAAAATATAAATTTTATTCATACAAAAATAAAATATAATAAATACATATTTTTGTGTTCCGACAAATGGAACACTACGATTTTTAGTGTTCCGCCAAATGGAACACTGCGATTTTTAGTGTTCCGGCCAGTGGAACACTACGATTTTTAGTGTTCCTTCAAGTGGAACACTACGATTTTTAGTGTTCCATCAAGTGGAACACTACGATTTTTAGTGTTCCTTCAAGTGGAACACTACGATTTTTAGTGTTCCGACCGCGGTACGCTACGATTTTTTAGTGTTCCGACTGCGGTACACTAAGATTTTTAGTGCTCCGACCGCGGTACATTACGAATTTCGTTGCGCTCCGGAACACTAACAGTAAAGTATTTTATAATGTTTGTGTACCGGAACACTAACGCTAAAAATTTTTTAGTGTTTGTGTTCCTGGTACGGTACACTACGATAGTGTACCGTTTTTTTGCGAACACTGGTAGCAATACTCGGCATCAGTTATGTATAACTTCAAATAACTAAAAAATCCTTTCACTAAATATGAAAACTGCCTTGAGTATTCTTCATTAACTTTGTCAACTATATCTGTGTAAAATTTCATCAATCTAAGTTAATTTATTAGGCAGTAATTAAGGGTTTTCTCAATGTGGCTATATCAACACTAGCAAAGATGCATGTTTCTTAAGAAAAAAATAGTGAGCATGCCGATTTTAAAAGACACGTAACTTTATTAAAATTATATATTTTTCACCCGGATTTTCTTCTTAATTGTTAGCAACATGTAGGGAAACACTTTAGAATTTAAAATCATTTAGAAATGTTTGTAATTATTATACTTTTATGGATGCCGCCCTTAGGAACAAAAACAAAATAGATTTCTATAGTCGGCATAATGGCACTTATAAGCACATTTTCGATCCTTTTGGGTCAATATCTGGAAAAAATTAAATAAGTATTCTATATTCTGAATCGTTTATAAAACAAATTAATTTTGAGTGGGTTTGCCCAATATCCAACATTTGTAACCTATAAAGTAAATGTATAAGACATGCCGAGTATTGTTCCTCGAGTATAGCCGAGTATAGTTCCTCGAAGCCACTGATAGTCTCTACCGTCTATCTTCCCTTTGAGGCTCCTGACCCGCCCGGTACGGTGGTATGCCGCCTATTGGAGGAGATGGGCAGAGTTGGTGATATCATCATCGGATGTGACGCCAACGCACATCACTTCCATTGGGGAAGCAGCAACACAAATACAAGAGGTGAGTCCATTTTCGAGTTTATACTTAGCTATAATCTTAGAATTTGTAATAGAGGCAATACACCAACTTTTGTAAATAGGGTGAGAGGTGAAGTCATCGACATAACCCTCACAATTATGGACGACTCTGGGGTCATAAACTGGGAGATGTCTGAGAAATGTTCCTTTTCGGATCATAGACTCATATCTTTCCAGATTCCTACATCTAGAGCTAAACAGAAACCTTATAGGAATCCTCGGAAGACGAACTGGGACAAATTCAAAGCTAAAACAGCAGTCTCTATCCGGGATCGTAATGATCTCAAAACGACTGAGGATGTTGAATTAGCTGTGAAAAATGTCACGGCCACTCTTCTGAAGAGCTATGAGGCTTCTTGTCCCCTAACATACCCTGGGAAGAAATCTCAGCCGGTATGGTGGTCACAAGACCTTGCGTATTAAGTATTAAGCGAAGTGATGGTACGTGGATAAACTCTGGTAGTGAGACTCTTGATCTTCTATCATCAACCCACTTTCCTGGTTGCAAGGACTATGGGGAAGATGCGCAGTGTGTGCATCAGCCTACAGTTCGGACGAGGGAAGAGGAGAAGTTGATAGAAGATACTATAAGATACCCAAAACTGATATGGGCGATAAACAGTTTTCAACACTATAAATCTCCTGGTCCAGATAGTATAATACCGGCCATGCTGCAACACGCAGATGAACGAATAATATCATTTCTGCAGGACATTTTTAGAGCTTGTTTACTTCGGTTGTACATACCAAGTCTATGGAAATAGGTTACCGTGACCTTCATCCCGAAAGCCGAGTCATACGTTACCTAAAGACTATAGACCGATTAGCCTTTCTTCCTTTCTACTAAAAACATTAGAAAGGTTACTAGACTCAGAAATTAGAAATACCATTGACCGTAGTAAACTTAGTAAATCGCAGCATGCCTACATCAAAGGTAGATCAGTGGATACAGCTCTGCATGAGGTGGTTGGATGCATCGAGAAGAATATGGCAGCATTCCTCGATATCGAAGGAGCTTTCAACAATGTGAAGCTAGAAGCCATCCATTCTGCTCTCGTAGGCAT